TGAGCGAAATAAGTCAGGCAGAGAAGGACAAATACCATATGTTTGCACGTATAGGAGGATTAGGAGGAACTTGATGGAGGAACAAGGGGGAGAAGAAGGGCGGAAATGGTGGGGGAAAGGGAGAGAGGCAAACCATGAGAGACTCTTGAATGCTGACAAAAACTGAGGACTGATGGATGTGGGGGGGAGGGGGGGAAGGGCATGGAGGAGGGCACTTTGGGGATGAGCACTGAGTGTTATGTAGAAACTAATTTGACAATAAACTATTTGTTAAAAAAAAAAAAAAAAAAAAGAAGTAGGTGCTTAATAGGTATCTGTTGAATGAACAGAAACATGTTCTTTCCTTATGGTCAATACCAAGCCTCCTGTGCTGGACATTCTCCATTTACCCCTCCGGTCCCCCTCTCTTCCGTTTCCTGTCTGACTCTGTGCCCTGGGAAATTGCGTTTGGCACCATGTCCGCTGGGCTTCCTTGTCCTCCGGCTTTTATTTGGGACTGGACACTAAAGGTGCTGCTATAAAACTGAGAAGGGAGAGAGGGAAGTCGGGGTACCTGTCTCCCCACCCGCCAGCTCTCTCTGTGCAGAATAACCACAGGCTGCTTCTTTCCCTGACTAAAGGTTCAGATCCTTTCAAGCAGCTGCTCTGTCTCTGAGTCCTGCTCTCTCCCTTCACCCTCGGGCCAAGAAATGAGAGAGAAGGAGGAGAGAGAGGTGAGGGGATTGATTCCCTTCTTGCTGCCTAGATATTAGCAGTAACTGTATTCCGCTACCAGCCACCAGTCCCGACAGGTGGCCTTCTTCAGCTCGGGGCCTCTGCTCTGCTTGTCACGTTCGGTGCAAAGGTAGGGATGGTTTCTGCTGTGGCCAGCCCTGGGGCATCGCCCATTCCTTGTTGACTTCTTTAAATTCTACCTGCCAAGTGCCTGGGTGGCTCCGTCGGTTAAGCGTCTGACTCTTGGTTTTGGCTCAGGTCACAATTTCACGGGTTCATGAGTTCGAGCCCCCTGTTGGGCTCTACCTGCTTGCCATTCTGTCTCCCTCCCTCCCTCTCTCTCTCTGGCCATCACCAACTCGTGCTGTCTGTCTCTCTCAAAAATAAATAACTACGCTTAAAAAAGGAATTCTACCTACAACTTTGGAAATAGTCCTTTTATACACTTCTCAGTTGCTCCATCAGAGTTTGTCATTTTTTGGTAATGGGACGCTCAGAGTAATAATTTGCTTGCCTGTGAAATGGGGGACCTGACTAAGTCAAGTTCCTGATGAATCTTCATTTCTGATGTGATTACTGCTGGTCACTTTTGGAGCCAGTGACCGGTTCTGACAAACATGTTGCAATCTGAGTTGTGTAAAGATATGCCTTCTGCCCTGTTTGCAGTTCAGTATTCCTGCCCCCTAAGCTGATAAAGTTTGGACTATGCACATCTCATGTACCTTTCAAACCCATTTTGATGAAATTTGTCCTAGGATTAAGATCAGGTTGTTTTTGTGACTGAGATATCTAGACTCCTGAGGCTGAAGACATATGTTCGAATTGAAATAAAGAGGGAGGATTTCATCCCTTAAATTCTGTGGATCTTTTTTCAGATCATCTTGTATTGTCCTTGTACCATCCCCTCCACCTTTCAATGCTACGTTTGTGGATGAGGAAGCACCCCAAATAAATCTCCCACAGGGAGGAAAATAGAACAATAGAGAATTGGGCTGATCTCCAAACCCTGTGCAGATTTTAGTGGTGAACCCCAGACTTGCTTGATCAAATAAAATGGGAAGAGCTCGTAGGGGGTTGGCTCAGGGTTTGGATAGATCTTCAAAGTCAGTGGTTCTCTCCTCCATAAGATTGGTCCGTGCCGCATAGAGAAACCTCTCCTGGTCTTCCAAACTCTGCTGAAATGGCTACAAGGACAGGGAATTAGAGACAGGGAGTGAATGGCTTTTTAAAAACATGTCCTGTTTGATCTTACCTGGATTTAAGACATTGTTTCTGATTTATTCTTTTATCTATTTTTATATTATTTAAAGTTTGTTTGTTTGTTTGTTTGTTTTGAGAGCGAGTGCACAAGCATGGGGGAGGGGCAGGGAGAGGGGGAGAGAGAATCCCAAACAGGCTCTGCACTGTTTGCCCAGAGTCCGATGACGCAGGGCTTGATCTCATGAGCCGTGAGATCACGACCTGAGCTGAAACCAAGTGTTGGATACTCAACCTACTGAGCCTCCCAGTTGCTCCAAGAGGTTTTCTTTTCAAATAGGAAATGTGGGGTTCAGTTCAGATCTATGAGGGGCCACCACCCAGCTTTGTGACTGTTCTTTGGGCCTCAGGTTCCTAATGGAACACTAAGGGAGGTATCTTGGATACCATAATATATCCTTCCAACTTCCTGAGCACTGCCAGCTTTGCAGAGTGCTACGAAGACTTGGCACTTGTGGGGTTACACAGAGCTTACGGTAAGGTCTCCATTTTTTCCTACAGGGCTAGGGAAGTATGATCTACTGGTAATACCAGGAGAATATTTGGTTTGCCCCTTTGGTAGCTGGAATAGTGATTGTACTTTAGGTAGCACACTGGCCCTGTTCACGTTTCCGTTGCGCCTGGGCACGCTAGAGCCATTGAATGGGTTTCAGGGATGCCACAATAGGAGCCTCCTTAGCTCTCGCAGTGGCTGGGCAGACAGATGGTCCTCTGTCTGCAAACTGTACCTGATTGCCCCACACAAATGTGACCCTTTCCCCCTGTGTGGCATGATGGGATAAAGACTGGGAAGTGTTAATTCTCTCGCCCCTCCCCTTCCACCTGCCCTCTCTCCCTCCAGACCATTCTCTGTTCCTCCATGTTGCTGGTGCTCATCACCTCTTTTCTGTTTCTTTGTGGTTTATAGATGATCATGATGCAGTCCTGAGGTTTAATGGGGCGCCCACAGCCAATTTCCAACAAGATGTGGGCACGAAAACCACTATTCGCCTGATGAATTCTCAGGTAAAATTTCTTCTGTGCAGCTTTGGAGTGAGGGAAGACCACAGTACGGGCTCTAACACAGAGTCTGTCTCCTAGGAGCACACCCAAGGTGCCAAATTAAGTAAGTCCCATGATTGACCTTCCTGAGTCCTGGATTCCTCACTGGTGAAGGAGAAGACCATGGTTCCAAGACCTGACCTGGTGATGTGTTCATGAAAAAGCTCCTGGGGCATTAGTTTGTATGGACAGAGGGGTCCAGTGCCCAGAGAAAGCCAGAGAAAGCAGGCTGCCAGGTTATATCCGGAGTATTGCATGAGGAACAACATAGCAGGGAGTATCAGAGAGTGAGGGATGCTGTGAAAAGTCAGCGAAGCAAGAATGTGGGCATGTTTTATAAGCTGTAAGATAGTATACAGGTCCTGTCAGACACCATCACCACATGAATATGTGCTACACGGCACTACACTTCACGTATTACCTCATGAATTCCCCTAGATGATTGGCTTCCTGAAGTATTTCCAGGTAGCATATAGTGATTTCTCAAAACTAATGGAAACTTGAGAAATACTCTTGCCACAGAGTTCTGTTAATAGATTTAATTAGTGGTTAAAAAAAAAAAAAACAACCCAAACAACCCAACTTGATAACATGGTATTAAAACTAGCATGAGATGTCTGGACACCCATTCACCTCACTCGTGATCCGTCGGTGTTTGTTGTTCTCTGAGTAAACACGTACACTTTGGCTGGTTTTATGTCAGTGTTTAGACTCTGTGCATTGCCCAGGCCTCCGTGGGCGTGGAGCTCACCTGGGGGTGCTCATCGCGCCGCTTTAGCACTGTTGCAGGAGGCCTGCGTTCTCCACTCCTCTGCCAGGGTCCACTTCTGTTTCTCTCAGACAGTGATCTCTTCACTGCCTGCCCTTGAGGAACCCCCCAGCTAGGCAGAGGCTGCCTCCTGCATGGCCCACTTTCCGTTTGAGGCCCACACTCCTGGGACCCTTTTTATGAGGGAACTGGGATCCATGAACTTAACTTCTTTGCAAGTGGCTGCCATCTTGTTTTCTGTTCTTTCTCTAATCCCTTGATGATGATGTCACTTTCTGTCACTGTACTATCCTCAGTGGACCCTACGTGCTTTCAATTCCTATTTATTATTATTTTTTTAAATTGTTTTTTTAATATTTATTTGTTTTTGAGACAGAGAGAGACAGAGTAGAGTGCAAGTAAGGGAGGGTCAGAGAGAGAGGGAGACACAGAATCTGAAACAGGCTCCAGGCTCTGAACTGTCAGCACAGAACCTGATGCGGGGATTGAACCCACCAACTGTGAGATCATGACCTGAGCCGAGGTCGCACGCTTAACCGACTGAGCCACCCAGGTGCCCCTATTTATTATATAACCTTATATTTTGGGTTTGATTCCACTTTTATTATAAACCATAAGAAGGCAGATTTTTAAAAAATAGATTGGTCAGCAAGAGACTCTCTGGAGCACATGGCACCAGAGCTAGGCTTTGAAAGATGGGCAGGATTTGGAGAAATAGTACTAGGGAAGCATTCTGAAAAGTGGTACTGGCGGGACAGAGAAGCATAGGAAATGAAGGAGACATTCAGATCAGTCTGGCTGTCGTGGGGGTGGGGCACGGACTTGTGTTGTCCCGTCGAGGGAAGGCTCATGGCTGTTTGGACTCCGTCAAGTCTAGGAAATCAGGCAGATGAGTTGGGACGAGCATCTCCTTCTTTCTCCTTTTCCTTCTCGTGACCCCGTCAAAGACATCTTGGAGCTGGAGGGCACCTCAGGAGGTGCTAAGGCTTAATCTCTTCTTCTGTGTAAGATGGTACCTGAATATCTGGGGGAGATGTTTGTTTTGCTTCCTTCTGTGCTCCCATCGCCCCCTTTCACAGATACGGGCAGTACTGAGTGCAATGAAGTAGGCAGTATGTAGATCGGGAGTCAGCTTGCCTTGGGTTGAAACCCGCTCTGCTTCTTAATAGCTCAGCGATCATGTGGAAGTTACTTATGCCCCCTCATCTGTTCCCCTGTGGAGAGGGGAGGGTAACAATACCTTCCTCACAGCACAGGGCTGTCATGGGGAAGAAGCAGGAAGCCCATGCCGAGCACCTTAGTGCCTGGCACGTATGTCGGTGGATGATAGCTACTCTTAACGTTTACGTGGGCGGACACTGAGATGGGTTTGGGGGATACAGCGGTGAGCACAGCAGGCTGGACCCTTTCGCATGCTGCCTGCAGATCCAATCGTCATGCAGAGAAAAGGAAAGTTGCAACAGAGAACTGCAGAGGACAGAATCACAGTGCTACCAGGGCCCGCACGGGGAACTTTTCCCTGGTCAGGGATATCACAGGTTGCAAGGAGGTGAGACAGCTGTGTAGGTGTAGAGGATGAGAAGGGCTAGGGCCTCTCACGAAGAGGCAACAGCCTGGGTAAGGCCATGTGTGGAAGGGGGCAGGGGAAGGCGAGGGCCCGGGGATGGAGTCATGCACGTGGGGGTGTGGTGAGCACTGAGGCTGAAGGTAAGGATGCGCCCAGCTCAGGCGCTGCGGTAAGGAGTATCCTCTGTGGCATGACCAGACTTGCACTTTGCAAACATTGCTGGCGTCCATCTAATCAAAGGCCCTGCAGTGCATGGAGAGAGACACATTTAGGAGGCACAGTTCACCACAGTTAATGAAATGCCAGTAGTTGCTGCGGCATAGAAATGAGGGTGAGAGGGAGGAACAGAACAGATTCAAGAGCTCTTTGGCATATGTGGTCCACAAGCGTTAGTGAGGGGTGAAGGGAGAGGGGCAGCAGGTGCTACTGGGCTTCTGGCTTGTGTGGCTGGCTGGCTGGAAGTCACTGGGATTGTAAGTAACTTGAAGACGTTTTGGGTTTGAGGGCTAGGGTCAGAGAGGAGGGTAGGATAGAAGCTGTGTTTCTGGACAGGGTTGTTCTGAGCTACCTTGTAGATACCCGGGAAGAGACGTCAAGCAGGCAGCTATACAGAGGGGACTGGAGTTCAGTGGAGAACTCTGGGTGGGATGTGAGAATTCTCGAGTCATCTTTATCTGTGAGGCAATGAAACAGTGGGGCCTAATGAGAGCATGTGGGACAGGGTGTAGACAGAAGTTCTACCCAGGGGCATTGGGTAGCAAAAATAGAAAGAGTAAGTAATCAGCACTGTCTGATGCTGCTGAGGCCAATGGAGGTGAAGATTGAAAAGCACTGTTCTCTCTTTGGCAAAAGATAGGCCACCAGCAACCTTCAACAGCGACTGTTGGGGAGAGCGGTAAAGCCAGAAGCCATATTGGAACATAGGGTCAGGAGTGAATGGGAGAGGCAAATGTGGATAGTTCTTTGGAGGAGGCTGGCTCTGAAGGGCAGAGGAGAAGTAGGACAATAGCTATGGAGGGCTGAGGGTTCCAGGACCAGTTTTTGTTCTTTTCACTTCTTTAGATTGGAGAGAATGGAGTACACTTAAAAGTTGATGGGAAGAGAGTCACAAGAGGACACATACTATATGGTTATGCCTACATGAGGTTCCTAGAGAAGTCAAGTTCATGGACACAGAAAGTGTCATGGTTTCTGGAGTCTGGGGTGGAGAGGGGGAAATATTGTTTAATGGGTATAGAGTTTCAGTTTGGAAAGATGAGGAAGTTGTGGAGGTGGTTGTATAACAGCATGAATTTACTTAATGCCACTGCGCTGCACTTACAAATGGTTCATTTTATGTTCTGTGTATTTTACCACAATAGGAAGTTTTTTTTAAGTCAATAGGAGAAACCAGCTGATAGATGGAGAAAGAGAATATAGTAAAAAGAGGAGATAATAAGTTAGTCATGGAGAGGAGGGAGTTGATCCAATGCCCAGTTGAGGATCAAACCCCATAGGAGGGAGTCCGAAGAGAAGAAGCCTAGGGCAAGTGTAGCTGGAGGTGGTTTATAGTGGAAGGATTAAAGGGCTTCTATTTTCTCTTCAAAGTAGGATGTAGAGAAAAGGAGGCTTTTTGTAGGGAGGCTGAGGGCAAGAGGGGTTTCCTGAGAGGAGGCTTGAGCAAAGAAAGCTTGACATGTCATTGAGGAGAGCAGAGGAAGGAGCCAGCAAGAGGAACAGAGCAGGATTTCCAGGCCATGCTGGCCACTTTGGAGCTGGAGAGTATGGCATCAGAGAGAATAGGTATCTCTCTGATGTCTCCAGATTGGTAGGCAGCAGCGATCCAGAAGAGAGAGCATGGAAAAGCCCTGAAAAGTCTCTTGGATTTGGGAGGCTACCCCCTTCTTAGGCATATCTTCCAGGTGGTCGGTGAAGAGATAAATCCTCATCCTGTGAAGATTTAATTTAAGGCTATGATAGGTTTGCCTACGAAGCTCTTCCAGGCTGGGAGAGAAAGCCTACGTCACTTTCCTGATTAGATTTGAACCAGGACATTCTCAGATCACATATGGGGGCTTATCCTCAGACCATGGCCTGTGCTATGTGTTCAGTACTTCCTTTTGACACCCAGGTTCGTGTGAGCATCAATTGCTATTTCAGAGAGGACACTAAGACTCCAAGAGTCTCAGTGAGTTGCTCAGGGGAGGGCTGAAAGGAAGTGTTAGAGGTGGGATTTGGATCGAGGTTTGCTTGCCAATTTTCTGTAAGAGTTTGTGTAGAACTGGTAATTTTCTTCTCTCTCTTTAGATTTTTTCAATAAAGCCATCTGGGGCTATAATGTACGTTGTGGGAAGTTTTTTAGCTACAGATTCAATTTCTTAAATAGATTTAAGGCTAATTGTGTTACTCGTTCTTTCTTGGCTGAGCTTTGGTAGTTTGTGTCTTCCAAGGAATCTGTTCATTTCTTCTAAGTTATTGAATTTATTGGCATAAAGTTGGTCATAATATTGCCTCATCATCCTTTTAATGTCTGTAGAATCTGATGTGATGTCTGATGCGAAAGGACATCCTTTTGTGGCGATTCAATAGTACTGAAATTCACAGGGCTTTGGACATCAACTAGCCACAAGTTCATTCCAGAAGTTCTCA